CCGGGGCCCGCGGCTGAGCCCCGCCGCGCTGTGACCGAGTGGCTGGCGCGATCTCGTGGAAGCACACGCTCGCATGGTGCATCTGTCTGGGCTGCTTGCAGAGATAAGGATGCCGTTGTCCACATGTGGGGAATCAAGGCTTTCATTGGCGCACAACCCAAGTGACTTCAGAAGGTCTTTGACAGTGGTAACATGGATGGAACCTGTGATTGCTAAACTAGGGTCTCAAGCTGGACTGTAGCTCGGGTTTGATCCCTGGCACCCATTTGGCTGTGATGATCGAAAAAAAATCATGTATGTTAACTAATTGTCATCGTTGTCATGAAGCTGCAGGATAAAGGCATTGTGTGGTAAGGTGCACCACCAGCTGGAGAAACCTCCGTGCGTGTGGGATCTTGCATCTCACTGTGGGTGCTCTGGACAGAGGTTTCTGTCGTCACCCTGAACGTAGCTGCTCTGAGTCTGCCTGTGCTTTGGATACACTTGGGACTGAGCAGCTCCCTCATTAAGCTGAAGTTCTCCGAGGACAGCTAAACCTGAAGGCTTGCAAAACGTTAGGACTTTGTTTTTTAGCCCTATAAAATGACAGAAGTACACTTTCAGGTTATGATGTCTATCTTTGGAATTTATGGAGGGAGATGAAGCTGCTGAAAGTCACTGTGATGCTTCCAAGAATTTCAGCTTTTTTGCATGAAAAGTCTGTCGTTTCCTTGTGCCACGCTTCTATCTCTGCATTTGTAAACCCAAACAGTCCCAGTAACTAAGTAACAGCACAGCTGAGTGTTTTCATAAAAACAACTGTGCTGCCTGGAGATGTGATTTACTGCTTAAGCGTGCGTCTGTACATCTACACAGAGGCAGAAAGTGATGATGACCTCATCTTAAACCAGCACACAAGAGCAGCCTCAGCTTTTCAGTCTCTGAGCCAAAGACAGCTTTGCTGTAAGCAGGCAGCGCTCCACTGATTCAGCGTCAGCGCTCACTGAACTGCTGCGGTGATGCTGTTCGGAGTGATCAGCGCTTGAAATGTAAACCTAAAAGGAAAAAATGTATTATCTTGCATCTTTCCCGGTATCTTTGCACAGAAAGGAAAGAAGGAGAAGCTGGTTAATATTCAGGATTTTACAAGTAAATCTTCACTTTTTATTTTTTTAATTTTGATATTGCCTTGGTAGCAGACTGTTCTTTAACGAATGTACCAGCGCTTGGACCATGCTTTTTACTTCGACTCAGTCGTGATGCCATGTTGCAGTTACTAGACACACAAAATAGACCTGCATATTTTCCAACCTATTCAAACAAGCACCTTCAAGTACTTTTCTTTGGCAAGGGTTCTCAGAATTTATGGGTCACATTCCTCTCTTTTGTTCAAACAAGATTCCAGGTCACAAGCAGAATGTCCTGACAAAGCCTAGTCATGTTTAGATGCTGCATGTAGCCCTCATTTAATCTGTATTCATAATAATTAAAATTTCTAAATCTTATCCTTGCATGCTTCATGCTTGTACTGAAACAGTTCATAGTCTTTACCAGAAAGAAAACTTTCTATTTGTGTAATATTTATTGATGTTAAACCCACATTATATCAGCACAACAATCCAAAGTAATGATAATACATTTTTTATAAATACAAGGTGGCAAAATAATGCTAGTGAAGCTAAACAAAAAAGTAAATTAGCATGTCACAGTCAAGAAAAATTTGGCAAATGATATGACGTTCTTCTTCTAGAATAGAATCAGATTATTCCCAGATGACAGACTATGCCGTTAATCTAGATTAACGATCCCCATAACTGGTCATATCCTGCACCAGAATAGCACTACCTTACGTCCTAAAGTTTATTAGTCGCTAAAAAACAAAACAAACCTTGTGTACTTACAAAGCAATACACGTATAGCAGTAATGCAATATATGGTGTACACAATTACAAAATTAAAAAAAACAACAACCCCTAAGTACAGGACTTCTGAATAACTGAACTGAGATAAAAGATTTCAACACTTTTATTATAAATAATGAAAGATACCATATATGTGCTTCATATAAGGAATACAGTGTTTTCCTTTCATAGCAAAGTATTGTAGCTCGTACCATCGAATGCTCCTTTTTCTGGTCAGGCCTGGTAATTCTCCCATCCCTCCCTCCCCTTCATCTGGAATTCATTTGGCTCTAATTTAAAACTACCCAGTCAGCTCTGACTTGGGCGGGGCTCCGGTTTGACGTGGATTTGCATTCTGGAAGTGGCCGTCAGGCTTCCCATCTGCGGCGCACAGACTCCACCCGGTAAAAGAGCCTTCATCTTCTACTTCCTCAGATCTGCAAGCTTCTCACCTGTGGTGTGTCCTTGTCATTTAAAGTCATATTGCAGTCTCAACCCACTTCTCACTTACTGTGCATTTCCAAGATCCTCATACACCTCACGCAAGCGTTAAGCAGTCGCGCGTTCCATCCATACGCTCCCTAGTTTTCAGCTCGCCTGGGCATTTCAGATTCCTGAACGGGAGGATCAGGAGGCTGCAGGCTGTCTTCAGGAGATCCAAAGAGCGTTTCAGCCTCTTGCCTGTCCCCCCCCACCCCCTGCAGTAACCCACTGCAGTGGTTCAGACCCCTGGCATTTTTCTCCTGTCTAGTTACCAATATTTATGGTCTGGAGCAGACTGTTGTTATGTGCCAGCGCTTTTTCTTCATTGTCTTGCAGAGGTTAAATTACTTATGCTGAAACTGTCTCTGCTGTACGTTTGTAAGTAAGCCTCCGCCTAGATGGCAAAAAGGAAAAATACAGAAGCATTTTAAATCACGGTGTTGATGCTGATTTGCAGAATTGTCCGTGCTAACAGCATTTAAGGCAAGATTTCTTTTTCGTTGTAGAACAGAAGGCAGTGTGCAGAGATACAGCCTTTGCTTACGTTTCTCTTCCCCGTCCCTTCCTGTTTGATGCTTACGGTATTGCACTTGTTCACTGTCGCTGTCAGAATGCATTGCCGTTTTAGGACCGCGGATAACCACAGAGTCTAACGGCCTCAGGTAAAACATCTTGCAGCATCTACTTCCCGCGTATGCAGGCGTGGAGTGACAAGTAGTGTTCTCCTCTGAAAAATCTGTCTCTCAGGTCTATTTTGGGCTTTATGAAAAGGGTTGTTCGTAAGAGCTGAAGCAACTTAGGTATAAGGAACTGGTGACTGTGATTTGTTGTGCAATGTGTACGTTTCTATTAATAATCTATCTATTCTTCTAATTTGGTATAATGATTAAGGAATATACGGTTATTGTGTTTGTTGTTTATCTTTTGTACTTGAAGGTGTCTGCCTTTGCATAAAGTGACATAGGAGTATCATTGGTCAAGGCAATGGCTTTCAGTGTTTCTGCTTCGAAAGAAAACGATGGAAGCGGCAGCTGGATCTACAGATCGTCGCTCTCTACCAAGCCAGACTGCATCGTCAGGTGGACTGGGTTTGCTTCAGGCTGGAAAGCCGCTCTGATGTCTAGTCCTTGGTCACACAGTGCAGCGTATCGGCTGGTGGAGGGCCGCACCTTCTTTGGCTTGGTTGTCTGAGGTGGTTGTTGCCACTGAGCTGTAGATGAGAAAGGAAAGGAAAAACTTGAGCCATCTGGAGCTGTGCCACAAAGCACGCCGGGTGCGCAGTCAACCCTTTGTAAAGGAGACACTGATTTCCGAGCAGCAGAAAACCATTATGTCAGAGGTAAGTTTGTTTCAGACCTTAGCATTTTTTTTCCCCCCTCAGGGTCTAGTTTCACCTTTAGATGTGGTAAGTAAAAACAAGAGTGTCTGTGTGTGTTACTTGGCCATTTTGGCACGGCTTTCTGCCTTTCCCTGTGCCACTGAGAAGGGTAACAGCAAGGGGCTTGTTTCCGTGCGCTACGGTTACAGCGGCAGCCTGTTCAGGGGCGGACTGCTGGATACAGAAGGAAATCAGCTGGTTGGCGCTGCCACCCCTCGCATGCTGAAGAACGCTGAGCCACAGCTCTAACTGACAAGTCCCACTGCCACCACAGAAACCATCCTTCATGTTTCCAGTCTGTCTCCACCCCACCCCCCTGTTTATTCTTGTTACGAGAAGACCGGTGAGAGATTTTGCTCTAAGAAATCAATTACTACGTAAGGAGCTGCTTTGGAACAAACTGAATAGTTAAGCAGAAAGCCGTAAAATATCTACTGTGCTTCTGGTAGCTGTCACAGGTGTAGTACAGACTAATGTACAAAAGAATATAAAGGGTTAGGAAAGTGCTAGCAGAGCAATAGTAATAATGATCCACAAAAATAATGTAATCATGCTGTTATCTGTTGTTAAGTAGCTATATTTAATATACTAAGCAAAACCAGAAAACATGCATGCTTGTTTTGCTTTAGGTATCTGAAAGATGGCGAAATGTACTTTGACAGAGCATTTGTTGTCTTGATGTGGATCGTTATTATTGAGGAGAAACTACAAACAAAAGAAAGAGAGAGCAAAGTAAACCATTCGGTGAACAAACCGAAACTTACAGAACTTGTTGCTTTTGGGGGGAGTAATGTGATTGTGAAAACTGAAGTCACTTACTATAAACATCCAACCTGGCAGTGCAAGACACAATCCCAGCCTCATTCTTCGCTGACACGGTGTACCAACCAGCGTCCTCCTTTGTAGCTCCCTGAATAAGCAGGCAAATGTAGCCGTAGTTATCCTGGTGCATGCTAAAGAAAAGAAAAGTAGAAAATTACTATTTACACTGCAAAACAGTGTAGGCTATTTTACAGTGTGAACAGACCCAGTCTTAGTTACAGATTAATTATAGTCCGCTTTTAATTAATATGGAACTTCCTCTGAAATCAGCGAGTGGAAAAAACCTTGAGTATCCTTGACAATTTGGTAGTTTAATTTCCTGTATTGAAAACTAAGAGCAAAAACGCATAAAGTAACTTCTCTTTCACAATTATAGATTAAGACATTTGGAAATCTGATTTTAGCAGGGACACCAGGACTTACCCCGACTTTTTGGCTTTGAGCAGCCTGGTCTGGTGGAAGGTGTCCCTGGCCTTGGCAGGGGGGTTGGAACTAGGTGATCTGTAAGGTCCCTTCCAACCCAAACCGTTCTATGACTCTATGATTTTAATTCTGGCTTGGCCACCAGGCTGGCTGCAAGTCTGAGTAAAAGTCATAAATTATTACAGTAACTATTTAATATTTATGAGCTGTTCACACAAAGCATTCTTGGGACCTTCTAGGTTTTCATTGGTGTTACAGGATAAATTGTCAGTGAGGTTACACACGGGGAGATTATTCTGCTCAGGCTCACCTCACTCGGTCGGTGTTGTACGTGAGCGACTCGTTCTCTTTCTTCCAAAAGATCTGCGGAGATGGCTCCCCTGAGATTCGACACTCCAGTCGCACTGGGAATCCCTCAGTCACACCGGTGTTTTGTAGCTTCTCTATAAACACAGGTGCTTTGTGTACTTCCTTGGCTGTGAAAAATAAAGATTGCAGTCCTGTTGACAATGGGCTGTGAAAATGTAACCGCCTTTCAGCAATACGCTAAACACCAATCCTGAACAATGGACGTGGCAGGCAACCGAAGTGTCACCGTCATGAATCACAAAGTCCAGTCCTGGCTCAGCTGAAGAGAACAGGCACATCAGGATGTTAACAGGGAAGAAGGGAGCACTAGTAGAGCTGAGCAGTTTGCCCCCTGCCTCACTGAAATAACTGAAATGTGGAGCGTGAACACTTGATAAACGGGCAGCACGGTGCTTGATAACCAGTGCTCCGTCACACGCCGCCAAAGGGCGGGCTTTTAATTACAAAAGCAACTGCTCTACCGGAAGGCTGGCACGGCATTAGGCTGATGCGCTGTGAAGCACACAAGTCACGTCACAGTAGCTACCCAGTGGCAGATCCGCATCTGCACAAGTTGCCAATAAAACCCCAGGCAAGTAAATAGCCTGGTCTGGGGCCTCAGCTGTGGTGGCAGCCCTCTTGGCTTCACCGTGTGCACGGAGGTTACCAGCCAGTCACCCTGTGCCACAACGTACCATAAATGGATCACCTGTAACTATAGCAGAGTTCTGTTACTGCCAGGTTCCCTCTTCTCATCCCTCACCCACGTCACGCCACGGCACCTGCATCTTCCCTTTCACACTATCCTGACGGTGCTCAGGGTGGAAGCTTAGCATGAAGATGTTACCTGCAACAACGAGCTCCAGGCTGAATGTATTTTCACCAGCTCGATTGCTGGCAACGCACGTGTAGATTCCAGCGTCTCTGGCTGTGACTGGTTCTATGATCAGGGAGTGCACACCGTTCTCACGCACCAGCATTTTGTGAGAGCTGTCAGGGCGAATTGGTCTTCCGTTAAGTTGCCAGCTTAAATCTGGAGTCGGTAACCCACTGACCTGAAGTGTAAACAGAGCAATGGGAAATGGTCTCAGCCATGTGGAACACTGGAGGAGTCCTGACTTGTTACTTCAGAGATGTTTGGGTTGGTTTGCTGCTGCAGGTGTACCGCAAGACTTAAAGGTCTAATTCTGTCCTGAAGTACACACTGACTCAGTTGTATTCATTTAGTTACTTTCTGGCCAACTCCCTGAATTCCACCGTGTCTTACGGGCGTGACTGGAAAAAGATCGGTGTTTAGATAGGCTGGAAGCTAAATGATACTACATTGCAAAACAAAAGGCAGGGTGACACCTTTTGTCTTTTTTTTTATTTTACTGTTTGCTCTTCACATGGAATGAGAAGATACTCCTTTCTAGATTAACTTCGCGTGGCAAACTTGCAGACGAAAAGCTGTTAGCTGACTAATCGTTGAACTCCAAGTTCCATTCGGCTTAGGTGTCACTAGTGACAGCACCGCCTGCTCCACCTCATGCTTGGGCTGTGCGAACAAGGCTCCTGCTTTTGAAAGCTGCAACATTTGCTGTGGGTACTGCTGGAAAACAAATAGCTTCTCCCAAATAGATCAGCATAAAGCAAACAGAAGTCATCAAAGCCTTAATTAATTCTGTTAGGCAAAGTCATAAATCAGGATTATATTGTTTGAAACCTTAATGGGGGATCGAAACTCAAGCAGTAAAAGGACTTAAAAAGGAGAAGCGCGCTGTCTCTGTAGCGTGTGCTGCTTCCCTCCACACCCCAGCACAGCTGAATCCTGAAAATCGGATTCCTGTGAGCTGTAAAGTTTGCTGCCACTGGAGAGGAGGCAAACTTTTGTTGTCTGCTTACTCATAAGCGGTGAGATCAATTAGCCTGCTGCCGGCTGCTGAAACCGCCAAGAGGCAAGACAGCTTCAGGAAGAAACTAACGTGGGTTTTGAGTCAGCTACGGTTATCGCGAGGCCGTGCTGCCCTTTGCGTGACACTTGCCTTGCAGTCCATTCTGCACAGTTTTCCTTCTTGAACAGTCAGGTCACCAGGAGCCTGCAGAAAATGAGGCCGGAAGAATCGTTCCTGAATTGGTTCATTTTCATCACCACTGTCCCTTGATCGAGATCGTGGTCTTAAAATAACATGAAATAAAGGTAAATTATTTTTTTTCTCTGCTAAAACAGAAGAACCAAAACTGCTTACAAGACTGCTTTGAATTTTAAATCACTTCTTTGAACTATACCATAATCATCACTCCATATTTACACACATACACTGGTAGCATTTGGCTCAGACTGAGTTAATTATGACACTGTACTTATTAATTACTTTCATTTAATTCACATGTTGTGGCAAAATATGATCTAGGAAACAATCTTGCTACAGAATAATTGCTTGTAATTATCACTTGTTTATGCACGATAGTATTTTTGTTTAGCATTAGTCTAAATGAGGAATAAATATCCACAGCCCTTCAATCCACAGAATTTTCTGTATGGCCTTCAGTAGTGCAGAATAAGAGAAGATGAAATATAAGTCTGATGTGAAAAGTCTTATCTGAGACGAGTCAGCTTTTAGCTGTTGTTATTTTCTGAAAGGTAAACATAATTAACGAACAGTAGACTGAAATACAAATACAATAGGTCGGCAGGCCTTAGCCTGTGTATTTAATCCCTTCACTGTTGCTGACTACACCAGAAAGAGCAGGTGTCAGAAGCAGCGTCAGTCACCATAAGGTTCCACGATATCATTTAAGCCATTTTCAGCATTGCCCATTCTTGCCTGTTAATTAAATCTATAGAATCTCTTTCTAAGTGGTTCCTCATTTAACTGGATTTTTTTCCAGTTGAAATTAGCATTATTCCATTTGTGTGATTTAGTAATCAAAGAAACTTGTAACTGAAACATGATTTTAGATCAGTTTTTCTCCTTGCCTGATCAGCTCCAAGGGGTTCCATTCTGGAGCCAGCTGCTGCCTGCAGTAACGTCCTGCTGCAGGGAGGAGGGGCTGGTCAAATATCCCCCTCGACAACTTCTATCAGTGACACTGACACAGTGAAATTCTCTCTTCTGAATTCCATTTTCTGTTAGCTTTTGCCAGTGTTTCTGTTCTGGCCAGTGCCTGCAGTATACATGCTGCAGTGGACGTGGCTGTACTGCATTTTCTGCTGCCCATGGGTGTTTCTTTAGGTTAAATACTTAATAACAAAAAAAAGCTTAAAACCCCCAGCAGTTACATCTGGAAAACAAGCTGCTGTACCACTGTATGGAAGATAAACACTGTATCTGCACGCTCTGTACCACTGAGGTTAAGTTTAATTGCAGTTGTTTGAATTTTGCTTATTTTGTCCTTGCCTATTGCTGCCCTCCTCTCTATTATCACTCTGTTTGAAGTCTGAGCAGTCATCCCTTTGGCTACAGTATCACCTGTCATAAAGAGAGAAATTTTGACTTTTTAATGATCATCAAAGGCAAAGGTGTGTGTGGGCGAAATCTAGCCTGTGCTGCTTGTTGATGTAGGAACAGATACTGAAGCGGGGCACACGGACTGACCTCTGCGCACGCACTGAAAGCTCACGTGACCCTTCGGGTGCTACATCCAGGCCTCAGGCACCGACTACGTTTTGCCACTTGAACGTGCCTAAAGCTACTCCAGCAGCCCCTGCGCCGCAGCTCGTGAGCAGCTCTGCGGTCGAGCTGGCGGGCTCCGAGCCGGTTTTGCAGATGTACGCGCCTCATGTGCACGCAGATGGGACGAAGCCTGGATGGTAATGAAGAAAAACTGTACTCCGATCTTCTGGGAGTTCTGCTTCTACAAGACCGACTAGAAATGATGGTATCTAGGCGAGCGAGCGCTCCACAGCGCAAGCAGCCCACGCAAAATCTGCCTTCAGAGTATTCACGCGCATCCTCTTTAGGTGCTGTGGATAGGACGCCAATAACGTAGAAGCAACTGGTGCTGCTGAGGGTCTCGCAAGGCCGAGCCAACCAGGCCAGCTAGCAGCACCGACGGGTGAGCGGCCTTCTGAGAGCCGCACCGCGCTGCTGCCGCTGCATGAAAAGGCAGCACTGGTCAAAACTGGGGGGGGAGGGTGTTAAATAAAATAAATAATGCATTCCTTTTTACCTCTGTAAATTTACCTCTAAAATTGCAGACTACTTTTAAGCCTCTACCTTGGAGGGGTGAAACTCGAGTTATTTTGATACTAAAGCACTTTGTGGTTTTAAAGAAATAATGAAGTACTTCAGCTGCCTAGGAATGACAGATCGCAATAGAGCGGAATACCCGTGGGTTAGTTGTGGGTTCCTTAGAGTTGTGGTGCGGGCACCGAATTGCAAAGCTTAGTTTTGGCCACACTGACAGCACGTACTAAGGGCGAGACTCGGGGGCTGGTGTGCACCAGGGATTTCAGCGAGCAAGAAGCTGGGGAGGACTTTATGACTGACCATATGATAATGATCACTGATTTGGGATAAAGGAGATCAAGTTAATCCTCTAACTGAGAGCAGGAGCAATAGGAATATTTCTTTTTTAAAACCTTCCCTGCATTTTAAGGTGCTTTATTTGGGGCTCTGGGAGGATAGCTCAGGTGCTACAGTGTTGAGCACCATGTTGTCTACAGGATTGAGCCCAAGCTTTGTACACGTCAGACAATTCAAAAGTCCTCCCCCCCACTCCCCCAGTAGTGCTCAGAAGGTATTGGTTACAAGCTAAGCATATTTCAGAAAAACACATTAAAAATGAAATAACTACAAAGAGTGTTTTAAAATGTCTGTGATGCAACATGTGACAAAAATCAGAGTTCTACCAGAACACATTCTGTAAAAGGTTAAAAATTCTTCAGGAAAAAGCCTGTCAGCAGCGTAACAAGTCATAAAGTTCATTAAGCTAATAATTACAGTTGTTAAAAAAAAAAAAAGGTTTTGTTGCTCTCAAGTAGAAAAGCTTATAGAAATAACATTGCAATGCCACAGGAGTGTTACGTATCCAAAGTGTATGGCCATACACGTGACAAATACCGCAGCGTACGGGGGAGCACAGTGTTGTGGTGTGTCACATCAGAAAGGCCGACGGCGGGCGTCTGTCCGAGGAAGGGTTTACACGCCCCCATCTCACCCGTCTCGGGGAGAGCTGCCCAACGGCCGCGGTGGGAAAGGCACCGGGCAGAAATGGTGGTGTGCTGAACGCGTAGCAGAACCAGAGCTTCCACAAGTGAACATATCCGCATGAGCCCTTCACATGTGGTAATTTTACAGGAAATAAAAATCCCCAATAATTGCCCTAATTTTAATTACACAGCTATATGGAAATCTCTTATTTATAATTTGTTACTCTTCTGGACACCCAACCAAAGCAATAGTGGCTGCCTGAGTGCTTGTCTCAATTAGAAAATAAAATACCAGCCCCAAGCAGCCTCAGACTTCGACTCCATTTGGAGAGACTGAAAAAAGGAGCCTCCTCTGTTACTACGCGAGGGTTCTGCCCGTCGCAGAAGAGGGAGACCCCCGTTTTATCCTGCAGAAGGATGCCGAAGTGTCTGCTGCTCGCTGCCGCTCACTACCCATCCCTGTCTTCTTTCTCCTGTCCCCATTTTCAGAGGTGTTTCCCCTTTCTCACCCTGGGTGCACTGACTGGATTCAGCTGAAACCTGACTCTGCCTGGCAGCTTTTTCCTGCAGGGATTAACATAGACTTTTCTTTTTCCCCCATTATTTGCAGGTGTCAAGTGCCATATTTACTGGACAGGCTACGCCAGATGGCCCCAGCATTTCTGGGCTGCTCCCCTCCATCCGCAGGCTGAGCTTCGGGCGCAACAGGCCGAAACGGGAAGCGTTGGAGGGGGTTGGTCGGGCACCCCAGCGATGGTGGGAAACGCCTTCAGGACTGCAGGAAGCCAAATCTGTTCCGTGCAGGACGAAGGCTCACAAGATCTCTGCAACAACCAACCCTGCTTCCTGATACTTTCTAGCTACCAGAGGGGCGAATACAGCCTGTTTTGCATGCACCAGTTCTACAGTACATGCTACTGCCACTACTAATTGTTACAGGAATCATTTCTTTATTGCACATTGGCTGTATATAATTACATCTATTCTGTATATTACAGCTGGGCAACACTGAGATTCTGTGGCCATTGTGACCATTCAGCACATTAACACATGCCTCATCACAGCAAAATCCGGAACTGGAGCCCTTTTACTCCCTTGAAAGCAGTTCTGTCTGGGTAACCAAAATGATTTTTTTTTTGTATCATCTAAAGATGTCTAAGCTGTGCTAAATAGCCTCATAAATGCTTTGGGTAATGAAAAAAAAAAAAGTACTGGAAGGAAAAATTCCCTTATATGGTCCAGAAACATAAACCAAAGTTTCCTACGTGAATAATTGTAAACTCACCAAAGATAAGTTTAATACTTTATTTCTGACTCATAATTCCTTATAAGAACCTGAACTGAAATCACTGAAATACTAAAACATTTCTAATGTAAATCTACTAAACTTCTTTGGCATTCAGTTATTTCTGCTGTTTCTTTAAATGAGTCCTTATAAAAGCTGCAGAAAGTACAGGTTCCTGGTAGAATCCTAGTCAGGTGAGATGTTTGAAAAAATCATCTAAGTGACAAGGTCCTTCCCAACAGCTGATAGTGTAATTGAGATAAGGAGTAATTAGTGAACCTCACAAAGGAAGGAGGAGGAGACAGGCAAAATTAAAGATACTTAAAAGTCACCTCATTTCAGAGGTTGCTCATACTTCCGAGTGCGCATGCTTTGCAGAAATTTTTAGACAGCAGAGGTCACATTTCTTCCTGCATGCCCTACTTTTAATTTCCATTGTTACTTCACATTCTTTATCTTACCACAATAATTTTGCAAAACATTTATTATTAAAAGAAAAAAAAAAAAAAAGCATGAAGTACCTTCTCATATGCGGCTGACCAGAAGGTGACCAAGGACTGCGGCCTCTTTGATTTACAGCCTGAACCATCAGCCTGCCCGTGCAACTCACTCTGCCCTGTTAGGGTGATGGAGAGGAGGAACATTAAAATACTCAAAGCACGTAATATTATCAAATGTTCGCCCTGATCTCTTCCTTTTTGCCCACCTGTTGTAGAGTCTGTAACACATCTCTTCTTTCACCAAGTCATTGAAAAACATTTGTCAAGATACCTGCTGATACTAAACTGTTCTACCAGCTTCCAATCTAACACAGAACAGACTGGCATAATTGTGACTCTAACACAGTCGTGGTTACAACGTTCCACCTTGATGTTCTTCTTTCAAAAATGATTAGTAGTACCACTGGCAATTAAATCCTTACCACAGGATATTGAGTAGGTAATCGAGGCAGGTGGGAGGTTTCTCTGTGTACGGCAAGTGGACAGAAAGACAGGACAGCTAGTTCAGGATCAGCCACTCTTGAACATGGCGCTTGGAAAGTGTTGGAGGTTAACGACAGGGCTGCTGCCTCCAAAGTGGACTGACCCACTTGATCTGGTGGGGTCATGGCCCAGAGAAACCCCATGAACGCAAAAAACAAAAGAACCGTCCAAGTGCTTAAAGGGTCCTCTCTAAAGAGCGAGCCTGCTCTGGGGGCAGGAATCGCATCGCAGCACACAACTGCACTGGTGGACGTTGGTGACAGTTCAGTCATCTTGGGTTATTTTCAGTGGATGATAAATAAAAAGTGGGCTCTGTTGTATTTGGTCCCCTTTTTTGTTTTACTTTGTTTTTTAGAAGGCAGTCTGTCCACCAGAAGCACTGCTGGTAATAAATTTGGGATGGGGCTGCCTGCAGCCAGAACTGCTGACAGCCAGGGCTCTGTAAAATTCACTGTATAAAGGACAAAAACATCTGGTGGTTTTAATAAATGTACACAATAGATACAAATATCAAAGCTATGTATAAAAATAATACTGTATTAAAAGTTTGTATACTTTTATATAGGAGTGTAACAATTTTCATAACTTTTGCAAAATGATAGCTTTAAATAGCTATTTGATAAATGTACGGAAGACGTACATCTGTCTCTCTGCCCTGGACTGGTAGCAGTAAGGCAACATCCGTATCAGCTCTGCAGTGTATCTGAGTTCTATGCTGTGAGCTCCGCACTCAAGTCTGTCAGCATAAAAGTGACAGATATTTTTGTCCCAGTAATTCGGGGGATGCAAGTAGCTGTTCATTAACAACTGGCCAAAGCCCACGGAAAAGAATTTCACTGGGGTAACAAGCAGCCTTCTAATGGCAACAACCTCTGTGTTCCTGCTGGACTGTTAGAGATGAAATCTCTGTGTCCCACTTTTATTCCCATGACCCATTTAGTCCACAAGAAAAATACTTGTGTTAAAATAAGCCATTCTGCATGACCTGAAGCAATTTCTTAAGCAAAAGATTTTTTTTTTGTGTGTGTGTTACCATTAAAAACATCTGGAACAAATACATTTCTATTTTAGACACCACTGCACATTAACCTTTACTGGCAAGTGATGAATTAACACATTTTGGGATCCTTTCTGTCTATCTCAATACATGAAGGCATCACAAATGGAAACACAAAGGACAGTAAGGAGTTCGGACAGGGAAGAACAAGCAGGAAGCCAAGGATTTGGAAAAGTCATGGGATGAACGGGAAGGAAGCGATGAGTGGGAAGTGACTCAGGAGAAGAGAGCCTAGAAAATAAGGGAAATCCAGACTGAGGACTGTGGGTGCATAGTGCAAAGAAGTGGAGAGAATGGGATAAAAGGAAAGAAGGTGAAAATAAGACCTCGGCTTGAGCCCGTACAACTCCTGGAAACAACTCAGTTAAGGGACGTAACCTGTAACTACAGGCCTGAAACAGGCAAGGTTTTGTGTGTGTCTAGGCCCGGGCTCAGTTTGCTCTGGATCAAGCTCTAAGGCAAATTTTACTGCAAACCCCAGAGGTGCGTTAAAACCTAAATGCCAGACCTCTGCGCTTTACATGGCGGGCAATGGTGCCTCCCGCGTTAACTACCACGGACGATTTCCAAGGTGTCAGCAAGTCACTTCACATACATAAATCCTGTAATATTAGTCCAGATCACGACATGGCATAAACTGGCAGAGCTTTAATGAACTGAATGAATCCTTTGTTTTAACAAAAATAAATTTATATCAACTAAGAATATGCCTTTCTGCTTTGTAGTTGGGTTGCTCCAATAGCAAGGACCAAAACACAGCAACAGCCTAGCAAATATCTACCAGTCCCTCAGAATCCTGGTGCAGGCTCCCTTATATTTATGTATTTCACTTTTCTGGAGGAAAGGCTGCCAAATTTGCCTAAGTTTGTGACAGCTTTGAGATGTGGACAACTTTCCATTAGAATTGAGGAAGCTATGCCAAAATTATTTCCACTCAGGATGACTTAAAAGAATTGGAATCCAGATCTTTGAGTGTGAAAGGCTCGTACATTAACTCATAGCCTTTCTGTGCCTCCATTGTACTGTTAAATGCATAGTAAAAGCAAGCAAACAGTGGAAGAGATAAGTATGTTTGCTGGGGAATTACACTGTGAAGAAAGAATAGAATGGGCTTGGTGAAACAGACAGATGTTTTGTTCAGGGGAGCCAGAGGAGGATGCTTCTGGTTCTTCTCCAAAGAGGGGAAAAAAGCACAGACACAGAATTTTATCATTTAACAAAACTGTTTTTCAATCCCCAAACTAGGAACAATACAAACCCAGCTCATTTTAGTGCATCTAGAAACCCGCTAACAAACTAGTGTCGTCAACGATCAGAGCTGATAACCTAGGTCACGGCTGTGTCACTGAACGAGCATTATGCAGAATAACAAGTGCTAAAAAGTAGCCCCTAAATATTCAGGGACAGAGTACAGTGCCCAGACACAAAGGCAGTTTATTTGTGAAGTTCTCTTAAGATTTTGGATCACGCAGTAACGCTACATCGGGAAACTCTACATGCACTAACACAACACTTCCAGGAAGATGAACAGGATTTGCTTCCTACCTTGAGCATGCATGTATTTATTTATAATTTTTATACCTGCTGTGAGCTTCCACAATTTAAATGGTACCAAATGTTATAATACAATGGTCATCTATGTGTAAAAGCTCCCAGCTTGCAGAATTCCCTTGGCCTTGTGCTATTTTCTTTATTATTTCTTAATTTCTGTTATTTGTATATGTAGAAATAACGTTTAAACTACCTAGATTTAAGCACTGCGATTTGTAGAATCTAGCCTAAGACTGCTACTTGTGTGTTGTCCGTGCGTACAATGCCATACATTCACAAGCACGCTGCAGTATGAGCAGGACTGACAAAGAGCAAGGCAAAAATGGCAGCGTCATGCTAAGTAACCTAGCAACACTCATAACAGAGCACAACACTCCTGTGGAGACTGAACTCTGTCTCAGTGATACAGTTTGTTATTTTACAGTGTGATTCTGCTTGCAGGCCTGGTTTTGGCAAGATATTTGGTGCTACAGAAGGAAGCAATTCGTTACATCCCCAAGGTTATGTTACTGCTGTGGTTTCTCACATGCAAATCTGGCCCCTCAATTTGCTGTGCTGTAGGAAAAGTGGGTTGAAAAAGTGACTTCAAAAGGATGCGTGAACTGTAAGTTTAGCCATGTCCAATGGACACCACAGCTCTTGTATTGGGGTCTGCGAAGCACAAACAATATTACAAAACCAGTAACACACTGTGTTTCAGAAGAACACTGTTGAAGACTACGGGATCAATGCAGGAGACACCCCCCTCCCCTACATAATAGGTGCTAGAATTTTTTGCCTCCCGGAATTTCAATCACTGCCTAGTGTAAACATGTTGAGGTGTGGTATACTCCTACTCATTTCAAAAAGTTGGCCTCAGTCAGTAAGCAGTGTCAACAGAATAAAAATGAAATCGCTGGATTGGGTTACTTCTGCTGGGTTTTTTTCTCCCTTTAGAGTACGTATGCTATCCGTGCTCAGTTCGGATACTGAGATGTTATCAGCTGAAACAAATGGTAGAAGAGTGATTAAGAAACAACACCCCTCCCCTCTGAAACCTCAAACCATAGGAAAAAACCTGCTGTTGAGTTGCTAATCTCTTGGAGATAGAAAGGTCCCACCCTACTGATGCAAGATGAAAACAGAAATCTAGCTTACATACTTTATGGTGACTTCATCATTTAATTAAATCATGCATACGTAAGATGAGATAGTTTTCTGCAGATTTATGTCCAGAAGCGTGTTTGCTCTGGAGCCAAACCTTCATTTACCTGTGGGTTAGCAGCCATAATAGTGTAATTCCCATCATCATCCAGGGTGGAGGCTGCAGTATGCAGGGAGCAAGTTCCATCAGGTTCTCTTTGAATTCGGTAGTGATCACTTCGTTTAGAAATTTGCTTCCCATCTTTAAACCAATAAATCTGCAGGAATAAAACAAGGCACGGCTGATAAGAGGTGGGTGCTCATTGTCGTAATTGCACAATTAATAGCTCTAACGAATCTTGACTGCTGAAAATCTCTCTGTAAGCATTAAAAGAAAACTGGTTTGATCAACTAGTAAAAGTGCAGAACCACACTCCATGAATCACTTTCGCTAAAAGACAAGCTGCCGATCAGCAATTGTTCGAAGAGAAAGACGGCAGCATGAACATTTACAAAGATATTTCAGGTGCGTAAGGGCTGTACCCATCCCAAGCACAGCACAGCGGCTGAACATATCAAGAACTGAAAATAAAAGTCATTACAAAGAAAAGTTCTATTTCAGAGAAGGTTACTAATTTAAAATCTTTATTTCACTTAAATATGAAGTTCGAGAAAGAACGCTATTGCTCTCTTTTCAGAAAATAAAAACAAACCAAGGTGATTATAGGAGTAATTAGTTCAGCAATGGATAAAATAGAAGTAATGGTCTCACTTCTGAAACACTGGTTTCATCTCATACCCATAACACTGACTGGACCGAAAAGCCAGCAGGGGATTCGGCCGCTCACGCTGGCAATGAGCAGTGCGGTAAGCGAACAGGCCCGCTCAGTGTGACTGAAACCAACAGCGTCACCCCAATGTGACAGACATCTACAGAAACGGACAGCTTTACAAAGGAATAGGAAATACTTCACAGCAAGTCAGCACAGATAGCCTTTAATCATTGTGTGACAACACCAGCATAGTTCCAAGTTGTACAGAACAGTTACATTATCTATCAGAGGTCTTGTCCATTACATTTGATACATAATTTTATTCTCTGGCTGACCCAAGATCTACTTTCAGTCAGCCAAAAAAAATGACGTATGCAGAATAATATCTTATAGTAATACATAAATTACACAAAAAACATGTATGTGCTTTTAATGCCTCAAACTTGAGGTGAAAAAATATTCAAATATTTTGACCTAGCTTTTTTTTTCCCCCTACAAACTGAAATCTGCTGGAATCAAAAGACATACATGGTGTATGCATGAAAACATACACGGGAATATGTGAAAAAATTTATACTAGGAAGGCTGTAGTTAGCTCCCAAACCAATATTTGAGTTGAACATTATTTACCTGTCATTTCTGAAGCGTGTGTTACTGCGTAAGATCAGTGGTGTTCAGCAATTCTGAACCCACTTGTGCAGATACGTACACAATTTTTACGAGGTTAACTCATGCAAAGTAGAACAAATGTATTCGTCCTGGTCACATGACTGCTGGGACTATTTACCATGAGGAAAACACACACTTTTTCCTCAGTCCAAGTCCTGAAGTGGGAATTTAGGTCTTACAGTGAGGAAAGGGTGCCGGCTTTCCAGTAAAGATGAAGTGACAACTCAAAGCACAATTCCTGATAGAGTTTAAAGTGCCAGCTTCTTCATACGTGCCAACATTGCAAAGCTCTAAATCAATTCACTTGAGGGGCGAAAAGTTAGGGATATAATTTTAAATTTCACAAAAAGACAATGGAGAATGTTTTTGAGGGAACGAACGGAAATTTCCCTTAAAAATTAATTACCATGTATGGTTTTTATATTAACAAGCACTATGTGTAACTAGCAATGATTTCATTTCCTCAATAGCTGGTTATACTTGTTTCCCATTTTGTCTGTCAGCAGCCTTGCAGAGACTCTGCGGTGCTAACAAAAGATTTAGTCATGTCTTCTCATCTGCTGACAGAGCACTTACTGGAGACGCAAAAGATATTTGATCACTTATATACACATGCTAATGGATGCTGGTAACAACATAGCTGCAAAAAATGAGTTTTAACTTGCACGCTTTACATGTCTCATAATGTTGCTTGGAAATCTACTGCATTAAGTAGTAATTATTTAATCACAATGCACTTATCAGAAATATCAGGAGACGTGCCAGGAATTATTACATGGAAACACATGCAAATATTAACTGAACCAGCTATCCAAACATCGTGCATGTATTGTTCAATACTTAATTCCACTAAGTTTAAAAGCATTGGCATCACTCCGTTTTACTTATGAGTAGTAAATTCTTAGTATTACCTTTACCTGACGTGGAGTTAATAAGTAAAACACTACCACTGCTGGAGACAATGGCCCTTGCAGCGCACTGCTTTCTTTCTAGGATCCCTTTTAATAAATGTACCATTAAACTACGTAAGCACCGAACACTGCATCTGGATTTCTTTTATTTGCACCGGATTTTCAGAAACCACTGTGTAATGACTAGAAATACAATGGGACACACAGTACAAAAGGGTTTTTGATCTTGCGCAGCACAGGCATTTTGAATCACTCAGAATTACATTCAGCCATGTGAAGAGCAAGCCCTACGAGCTGTGTGCAACATTCGTGTCTCAATTAACCTTTTGTATGGCGTTGTCCTAATTCTGAAGAGAAGTATCCCTTAAAAAGAAGTTCCACCATCCCTCCTGTATCACCACTGGTTCTCATTTTAATGAGGAAATAGTTTTATATTACACTGAAGGTTATAACAAAAGTAGACTCAGATTTTAAAAGTCGTATTTATGAAGACAGAATTTGCACATCGGTATTCAATTTACATGGCATGTTCAGGGGGAAAAATAATCAGGCCAATAACCCTGCTCAGAAAAATCTCTTGTAATGAATGCCAGATTTTAGAAACACTACAGTCCTTCCCAAAGCCATTCCTTGGCAGAGCTGACAGAACACTGAGAAGGGAGGAGCTTCAACTTAGTAAATTATTTCCAGCTTTTCATTTGCCAAAGTAAAGAATTTGTTCAGGGGCAACGCTTCCAGCTTCAAAAATGACAGCAGAAGGGCAGCCTTCAGCCATCAAGCATTTCAAAATTTCTATCTTGGCGTGCTCTGGCAGAAGAGGGAGCTGTATCTTCTGCAGCCTTTGACATTTGCAAAGCCCAGCTGACAAGTAGCCATCCAACAGGACTGAAATTGGTTCCATCCCAAGCAACTTAACAAATCGCACAAAGCATCTGCAAGTGAATGGAATAAAGAGTCATAGTCCCAGGTGCAAGAGCAAATCACTTCTTGATGCGCGTGCTTTGACGCTGCAGAAAAACACAGCACCGTATCTGAATCAGAGTACATGCACATCAGATACTCCTTCACAATGCCCTGCTTTAGAGGAAGTACTAACACCGTGGTTTCTTGGCTCTGCAATCCCTAATGCCAAAACAAGGAGAGTGAGGGAAAGGAGACATCCTCTTTCATCTGCCTTAAATCAGATTAAGGTGACTGTGAAACTACACCTTAATTGAAAACTGTGAAAATTAAGGAATGGCTAAGTTGACTAAGGCTGACTCATAATAGGTGATCCAGCAGCTAAGTCATAAGCCTCAGGCAAAAAGATGACATCTCCAGCACACTGCACCTCTAACACCAACGAACGCCTTTGTCTTCCACCCTTATTCAGCACACAGACTCTTCTGTACGGTCATCTCAAAAGTACTGCAGGACATCAAAGCTTTGGTTTCAGTCAGACCGGGCTAATCTTCTCTGTGTCTGTCTTCAGTTTGCAGCAGGAGTGCTTTTTTGATATGACTATACCGATCAGCCCCACTTACTTTGCAGTGGTTCACATCGTGTTGTGGTCTTGGAGCACAGAATTGGGATTCCTTTCAGATGAAACCGAGCCAGAAAATGTGCTCCAAGAACACATCTAACGTGCTGCATCTGCTTCAGTCTGTGGGACGAGATTAGAGCTAGCCTGAAGTAAAACCTCCTGAAATGCGTGCAGGGATGGATATCTCATTCCACAGATTTGCTTCTTCTGGTCTGCACTACTTGTTAATGTAGGTGTTGCCCTAGTTCTCCGTTGTTTCTCTGCTACCTGACAATGTCCATTTTTCTTTTTACAGTTTGTGCAGTATCACACACCTATATCACTGGACATGTAAAGTCATTTGCATTTATGTCTGTTCAAAATCCTAAATACCTGTCAAACCTACACTAGATGAGAGACTTGGATGTGGCTGCTGCTGTGAAAATCTTATCTAAGAGAGCAGACATCTCTGATCTTGTCTAAGAAGAAACGAGTCCCTGTCCACAAGAGGTCACTGTAAGAGCTGCCAGGACCACAGGGGGAAGATACTGGCTTTGGCAAAGAAGCTGAAGAAGCTACTGCTGTTTGCCTGCTGCATAATGAGTCAGTCGATTGCCAAACAGTTTTTGAAATGGTTAAACACAACCTACCAAAGGAAGGCATTCTTCCAGACTACTGACATCATGCAACTGGTACTTTTACATTTGCTAAAAGGAAATGCTTCCCAAGCCCAACCCTCCCTCAGAAGCTCATCATTAAAACCTCACTGTCATGTCTCATCTTGCTGTTGGGATATATGGGAGCTTATGGTATTTTGTTACGCTTTCCTCTAACTTTCAGTAAAATTTAGTCGTGTTAGGTTGTGTAGATATAAACTCTGCAACACTGAAGAATGCAGAGATGCCACACTGGCTCCTGAATCAGAGACAGCATATTTTTGCATTAGCATGTTGCTGTGCCTGAGCTAATTACCCATGTTAACCTGACAAGGCTGCTTTTGGGACTACTGTGCCAGCTCACATGGGGTTTTGTAGCACTGCACTGCATTCTGCGGTACAGATGTACCCTGAAGGTAACTCTGAAAAATGACAGAAGTATTACTTCTAGGTAAAATAATTGAGATGAAGTCACGGGAGAGAGTACCTAAGAGCTGAAGCCTCATAGCAGGAATTTTTCCTGGTAAAAATCTAAATAAATTCCAGTGATGCCAAAAGAGATTTGACAGTTTATACCAGCTAGGAGTCTCTTGTCAAGAAAGAATGTCTGCTGTTCCTGTAAGATACAGGGGCTGACTGTAAGGTACCAATATAGAACTCTTCAGAGTGTTTCTGGAAACATTTATCCACTTTTCTTACCTTTGGCTTTGGATTTCCTGCCACTTTGCATGTAAATGTGACTGGCATTCCCTCAAAGATTTTGTAATGCTTCAGCTTTATCTCAAAATATGGTGACATACTGTTATCAATAGGTTCATCTCCATGTTGCACCTCGTCATCTGATTCTTCCACAGGAGATCTCTCCAGCCTGTATTCAATTTCAGTGATCAATCGTTGCTCAAAGCTGGAGACTTTATACTCCTGTCAAACAAGAAAGGTACATATTAGCATCCAGCTTCAACACATTGCTCAGCAAGATGCGTTCCTAATGGGTTTTTTTATTCTACTGATCTTTGACAATCCATTAAGGTTTTACATATAGAAGGAAACTGTATCTTGTTGAAGAAAAACATTATAATCCATGCCTCCAATAACTTCCCTATAAACGATGAAGACATCTGGTATAAGGCAAAAATTGTATTTCATGTTATCTTAGGGTCTAATTTATAAGAGGAAGGAAAGTCACTGGTTGCTTTTTTTCATTTTTTTTTAAAAAGCCTATAAGAATAAAAGTATTCTGAAGCGGTTCATAAAGACAAAAGACACACGCTAATATCTCCTTGAGGGTACAGGCAGATTTAAGGGTGGGTTTTGTTTCCAGATGGCCAGAAAGCCATATGGTTCACATCTGCTGTTTGCATAGAACTGTACCACAGGCAGCACCAGAAGGCTAAAATGGTTTTGTTTACAGTTGCTTGTAAAAATGAGGAAAAAAAAGAAAAAAAGAGAAAATGGCAACACTGGCTGTCCATGACCGCTGCCTCCCTTTACTCCTGTTGCCACGGTCCCCTTTGCCTGGCCAAAAGCATCACTTCTTCGTTAAAAATAAAATTTGTCCCAACAGTATTCAAGATACAGAAAGAAGAGTGGAAAGTTTCATCCAATATAAAACACTACCGCTTGTTTAAATTTGCTATTCAGATACTGAATAGTGCATAGTATCTGAATATCAGAAACGTTACTGTGATATACAGAGTTCTGTACTAGTGATAACAAAGATAATGCCAGAATGTAAGACAGCTCAGAAGCAGGAAAAAAAAAAATAAAAAAAAAAATCAATCTTTATTAGGCAATGTTCTTCTCAGCCAGCAGAAATTCAGGCACTCTTTCGAATAACCTTTGGCCATTGTCTCTGACCCTTATTTTACTTACAATAAAACACGCCTAATATAAAGCCCCCTTTCACATGCTCATCCTCTACCCCTGTCTCTGGTCTAGGAATGACATGTAGCCTTTCTACTGACTGGTTACAGAACTAATCATAACCATCAATAATGGTAAAAAATGGAAGAAGAGAGAAATACTCTGTATATACTCTGTAAACTGCAGACATTTAAAAAATATCTTAGTTCCCTGAAAGTTTATCATAAAAGTAAATATGGAGTACATGTGGTATATATAAAGAGCAGCTGATCTGGATGCAAGGTGGTTAGTATCAGTGCATGTTAACATTACGGCAGAAAGATACTGGAGCACGCCGTTACTGTGGTTAAGCTGCCTGCACTCAGACAATTAGGCTTATAGAACAACTTTAATGCCTTGAAGGGAGTGCAGCCCAACTCTCCCCAGGTATTAATGCTAGGTGACCTCTTGTTATTAATCAAGAGCAGTAGAAGGGAAAGGGCAAAGATAACAGAGAAAAAAAAAATCAACGGACAAAAAGGCAAGACAGGAAAAGGTGAAAACGTTAACCTTTTGAATATCCACAGGACTCACTACACAAGCACCAACAGAGCGAGCTTCCTGCAAGGGTAGAAAAAAAGATCAAGAGGCAGAAAGAAGACCAAGAGGCATCCATGACAGTTTCTCAGAGATTTTATCAGGAGAACATACTTTATGTGGTAACATAAGCAAACGAATGCTACACATTTCCGAATAGCAACTCTGGCATCTGAACAATGGAGAACGTGTACCTGGCCTTTCAAGCAGACCTTCTGTTATGTTTTTGGTCTGCATCCAAAAAGTGCAGATTACACACATAAAGAGAAGATGGTTTCAAGATAGTAGATGTATTTTTTCCTTGAGAGACTTAAAGGTCAGGACAGAATAGGATAAATGGAAGAGTTTAAAGCAGAGAGCAGACATTTGAGAACTCTCAACCTTATTCAGTACGGAAAAACTGAGCAATAGACATGTGATCCTCCGGTTTACTTCACTGATACACGACATACGACTTCTGTAGTCAAAACTGTGCTATCTTGTGTGTATTTATTGTCTTATGTAGGACTTTTTTTAAGAGAATCACAGCCTGTGAAAAAGAAAATTTGAAATAATTTTTTTATTTTCCTATGAAATTGTAGAGTTACGTGGCACCTGTATAGCAGGCTCTTCTTCTGGTTCCTGTATATTGAAGACAGTTGCAGCACTGTCTGCTCCCAGCAATCGACGAGCCATTTTCTCCTCGTATGTTAATCTCTAAACAAAAAATAAAAGTGGGATGAGGAGGAGGGAAAAGGAGAAAGAAAACTTCTTATTTCTCATTAAGAACTACAAGGCCGTTAGACAGTTAGCAATGCTGTAAGTAATGCTAACAAAAGAGAGCAGCAATGTATTTCTAACAGAAATTTTCTACCGCAGTTTGTAATGCATTTTTTTTGCATTACAAGTGACTCTTCTGGCTTAAGCAACCCTTGCCCTGACTCTGCCATTTGTTTCCACCCTCTTGCCAGGAACTTGGGCAGGAATGAGCAATAGGAACTGCTTAAATCAGCACGGTCATCAAAAAAGTGCATGTCAAATCATCCCAGATCTTACTCCTAGTTGTCCTGCTCAATTTTTACATTAGAACCACACGGCAGAAAACTCTGCCAAAATGCAAAGGAGATACTACACTACCTGATTATTTTGTCAAAAATACGACAGCTTTATAGAAAAATATATTCCTTAAGGGTTTTTATTTATATTTCTTCTTACTCTTTCAGAAGTTAAGGAGACAGCTTCTAAAAGACAATTTACACTCAGAAGGTAAAGCAAGTTAAAAGAAAACCTCATGCGTACAACTCAATTATTTCATTATTATTTTTCCTTCTACGTTCAAGAACGCATTTCAGGCACTTAGACACTTTCTTACAAATCAACATTGCAAAAAAATGCCAGTGAATGAAAGGCAAATGCGTTACATGGTGAAATGCCTCATTTAAACAGAAAAATGAAAAAAAGCATGGAAATTGTAAAATATTACATCTACTTCATGCTTCCATTTTAAAAAAAGCTTATTCAAATTGATTTTTAAAAGATGTCACAATTGAGGCTAAATCAGCAGGCTGAGACTCATGAAAACTAGGGATCAATCTTGGCTTGCTTACCAATGTCTAAACAAGTCATGAACTTTTCTTCACTTCAGTTTCTTCTGTGATTACTCCAAGTGCCCACAGCCATGATTACACAAACAGAATCACCCAAGACAAAAATCTGCAAGGCAAAAGCCTCAAGGCAAGAGCAAAACCAGAGTTTACTTGGTTCAAGCTCCCACATCATCTGATCACAGGGTTTGGTTTTTTTTTTTCCCCCTCGGGCCATGTGGGCTTTCTCAGGACATTCCATTCATTTGTCCAGGCCAAACACCTCTCTCACTTTCCAAAATAGGCATTGACAGTCATGCTCAGCCCACCTCCTATGAAAAAATGGGGACTTCTACCCTGTGAGTGATCCTGCTTAACTGCTACAGAAAACTGCCAAGCCCTGCGCAGTCAATGGAGAAAGGTAAGTACAGAAGCGCTGGTCACTCTGAACATTTTCCCTACTTCACTCCATTAACCTTATTAAGAACCAGAATCTGGCAGCTGTGGACTAGATAGTCTGACACAATAGGCTGTCTCGAACTACTACACCACAGTCCATGTCTCAGACACAGCAGCAGACTTAGCAAACTTCAGAGCATGGTCCTGAGAAACCCAAAGCATACTACCTTTCAGTGACACCAAGGTATCCCAAGGCATTCAGATGTTTTTGAAAACATTTCATCAACAAAACAGGGGTGACAGTCTACATTTTAAAAATTACTTTCCTCTTAAAAGAGATTCCTGCTTCAAAGACATTTAAATCAATGCCTTAATAACTGTAATCAAGTCTTAGGAGAGTTGCTTCTCACCAGCTCTGAGCAGGAAGAATTTGGTATTTTATCTTTTATGCATATCTTAAAATGCACAAAAATTAATGGAGAACTTTGCAGCTGTGCATTTAAATTGTTTGATATGCCCATTTTACCTCATTTCTTGACTCCTCAAGCAGGTCATTAACTCCTGATAAAGTCCGTACGTTAGTACTATAGGTTATTTTGTATTCTATTGGTCAAAAAAGTCCCACAGCTGCAGGACCTAATGATGCCTGATTCACAGAATCACAGAATGTTTGGGGTTGGAAGGGACCTCTGGGGACCATCTAGTCCAAACCTCCTGCT